TTTTTTTTTTATTTTATATTTCGGCAGCCCCAGACTCCAACTCAAGTCGCTTGGCTGGCTGGTGGGTTCAATTTGTAGCTATAGCTATAGTCTCCCAAAAACACACACCGACAGACAAACAGAAGGACAGACAGACAGACATGAACACAGAATATGCAGCAGCTGTTGCCGTCAGTGGCAAAAGTCACAATAAATTTCTGCATTAGTTGCAAGTACAGTTGGGGTTGCAGTTCACATGATGGCGCTTCTATGAGGAACTTCTATACTCTGTGCTTAAAATATGAAAACTTGTATTACTGCAGTTAGATAATCGATCGTCTAATAAGTCTCAAATAGGTCCTCCGTATTTGAAAGTTAACTAAAGGCTGTTATTCTCTGCTAAGTTGATGGAGATTAAATCAGGAACTTCTATGCTCTGTATAAAATAAGTTGAAGATGATAAAGAAATTTCGAAATAAGCCAGCTTTGAGCTAAAAATAATCTTTCATCTTCGTTCTCTTTCTAGTGCTAAACTAAAGGCAGCCTTACTCTCCTTAATTGCAAATACAGTTGGTAAGTTCTCTTAATTAATTATTTGGATCTGAAACTCCCATACTTTGTGCGTAAAGTATAATAACTTTTATTGCTAGTGTTAGTTTTCTTTATGCACTTTCAAAAATACTAACTTCTATGAAACTCTTAGGGGGAAATCACTTGTAGGCAGCTTATCTCCTTAAAAAAAATCGGTCAATTAAGGAATGTTCTAAAATATAATACGCTTACTAAACGAAAAACATTTTATTTACAATAAAAGCACTTATATTTCTATCGAAATTAGAAAGTAAGCTTTAGAAGGGAAATCTTTATAAAACGAGCTCAGTTTAGGAAATCGTTATTAAGGAAATTTTAAAGAAAACGTATGAACTTGAAATAAGTATAAATATATGTTTGCATACATATATGACCAGCACCACGAGACGAATTGAAATAGACAATTTCCGCCTGTTCGTCCGTCCGTCTGAACCTTTGTTCGGCTGTATGAACACCGGGAACTTTTGAACCTTAAGTACCAGGGACACCAACCACTATAAATAGGCTTGTTATATGTATATGCAGGACGAGTTTATTACGAATCATTTACAGGTTCAATATTTTACATAGGTGCCATACGATCGATCACTGGAAAAATCACATTTAGTAAAAATCTCACCCAAATTTGATGTTTATAAATTTCATGCAGTGCCTTATATATAATCTAATCATATCTTATCATATTCTGTCCACCATAGTATATGGCTGCCATAGGAACGATCGTTTTAAAAAACAATCTTGTTACCAAAAACTTTGTTTGCAACTTAGATTTATGTTTGGGAGCTTTTGTAGATCCTTACGAGCTTTGTAGATCTTTTGTTTGCAACTTAGTTTGACATTTACGAGCTTTTGTAGATCCTTACAATAATCTAAAGTATTATAAATAGTTGGTGCACCATATCATATAGCTCTCATAGGAACGATCGATGTACAAATCAATCTTAGTACCAGCCTCTTTTCATTAATTTCAGAATCGTTTCAAAACACGAAATGTATTTTTTTATAGTTCCTGACTTTTGAAGGGGCATAAAAATCTGCTTACTACTTATAGCATATAGCTGATTTTAATCGAATAGTTATAGCAACAATAGCAGTGGGTTCAGGGTAAAGAAGTGTTGGGCTGCCACGACTTTAACGCTCACTCGTTTACTAAAGGATTTGAAATATAAATATACGAATAGTAGAATAAAAACGGCTTAAAGTTGTGTTAAGTTCCTTCGCATCGGCATACAGCGGAACTGTTTTGTTAAAGGGCAGCCCTTCCAGCAATGGAAATAAAATAGCAAAGTTCTTTGCCTGCGAGCGATGGCCAACTCTCGTACTTCAGTCGTAGAACTTGGCCATCTATCCGGCAGCTGGACGGACGTAGTCCTGCGGCTATTTTGTCTGCTTTATGAAGAAAATTAATTAGTTGTTAATTTCATTTCTTCGCTGCGCGCTGCAACAATAAACGTAATTCAGCCCATGGCATATTACATATACAATATAATAAATTAAATATTGAGTGCACGCTTTTAATTAAACGAGAAAAATGAAAGGTGAAAAATGTTAAGTTTAAAATTTAATTAGTCAGCCACACGCTGCCGGCTTGTGATGGGAATGCCATCAGCTGCCTTGTGGGCTGGGAATTTGTTGGTAGATCAGAGAGAAGATGGGGAGGTCGAACCAAGTGCTTAAGAAGTGTATGTTCGTCAAATGCGAAAGTTGCCAACAACAGAAGAATAAATAACAGACATGCATACTAGATGTGAACACGAATGCTATGAATATCAAATAAAAATAAATATACCATAAAATCAGCGCAAAAATGTTTCTAACATCTGCGCTGGCAGCCACTCCAACCATATTTCAATCTCTCTGTGTGTGTGTGTATGTGTGTGAGTGTGAAAGTTTTTGCTCAGTCGTGTGTGAGCGAGGAGTACCACGAATATAAAGAAAGGGTTTTTATGTCATAAAAACGCATGCCATACTGCACATGCTATTTATTCACATATTCGTATTTATATTCATATTCATATTTTTGCCACAGAAACAGATTTATTCGGCTAAAAGGAAAGCCAACCCGGTAGCTAACGAGGCGCGTAAAGTGCGGAAGGGGAAGTCCCCCTAATAAGTATTCTCGCAAAATGTAAAGATTAACAAAATATTTCGACTAATTTAGTACTTTATGCATCATTTCCTTTCTAAAATTTTAGGCTTACCTAAAACGAGTGATTAAATCATAGTGAAGAAATTTATCTATCTGACTATCTGTTTCTACTGCTAATTCTTGAAAAGTCGAACATATAGAATGTTTGAAAACATATTTAGTTCAATCTGGGATTGTTCTCTAGGATTATGGCATAATAAAATGTAAATAATTTTTGTCAGAAAAAAATAGCATTTTTTGAACGGAACGTATAAATGTAAATTGTCTAAAAATATTTAACGTTTCTATAACAAAATTTCGCTTCCTAAGTTCCCTTCAACTATGTCTGATTGTTGTCTTTAAATAATAAAACGATCGCACCTGTCCGTGAGAAGAATCTTCTTCATTAAAAGTTAGACAAAGCAAGACAATAAGAAACTTTATAATGTTAATTTTAATTTTCAATATATATTGGAATTCAAATTTAGTTCTCAAATAGAACAATTACATCACTAATAAATACATATAAATAACAGCTGAATTCAAAAATAACTCTTTCAACTTTTTTCAATTTTTAAAACATTTTTGAAAGTAAAATAAGCAATATTTAAGCTGAAAGTGCTCGTGTAACTCTTATCTTTTTACTGGTGTAAGAGATAATAAATTACAGAAATATATTAAATCTAAAAATATTATATTATTAATGTTAGTACCAGCTTTATATTTGGCTCAAAAGCGAATATAGACTGTCTATTGAAGATAAAAGTTGCATTAAAACAAGCTAGCGATTTTAATTTTTTTCCTCTAGTTGTAGAGTAACAAAACTTTGATAGGCTGATTCTCAAAAGTGTCGAGAACAAGAATAAGTTAAATACACTGTCTGTTTTATTTAAATAACTCTTTGCTCTTTGCTAGCTCTCATGATGATCAGACGTTGTTAAACGCTCAGAAAATTTGTTACACTTGTTACATAACGGTTTTGCGAGTATATAGTTTGTTGGTTAAAACAATTGCACAGCGTGCTAGCAAATTCAAATAGTGTTGACCATAAGACATGAAGTTGCTTCTTGGACTGTTGCTCTTTTTCCTGGATGGAGCATTTGCCGGCAAGACTATTCATGTGAACAACACAAATACAAATATAAATAATATATATATAATTATAAACAATGTGACCGGGGACACACAACAAGTTCAATTTCCGACAGTTGGAACAGGAGCAGGAGCAGGAGCAGGAACAGGGGCAGCAGCAGGAGCAGGATCTGCAGCACAAGAAGCGGCGGCAGCTGAGTTTGTCCCTCCTCCAGGATATAAACTTGTCGCTATAACCGTCAAGCCAACAGCCAGTTCGGCACAGGGAGGGGGAGGAGGCACATGGTTCCCCTTATGGGTGGTAAGCCGCAGAACTACTGTAGCGTCGATAAAGCTTACAGGACCAACAGTGAAGAAACCGAAGAAAACAACTAAAAAGCCAAAAGGCGTCTCTGCTGATGACGGCGATGGGACTATAGCTGCTGGCATTATAGCACGCTGAAATTTTGTGTAGAGACTTCTTATTTTTTTAAGCCGATAATATATTAATACTAGCCGATGATGTTTTATATATCTGCCATAGAAACGATCTGCCGTATTTTCAATAACATTTCCACTTCGACAACTTCCTCAACAAATTTAAATGTGTAGTGTAGTGTTGTATAATGCTAAAACATTAACTTTTTAATCTTTAAGTTTTAATCAAATCAGTGTACTATATCATATAGCTGCCATATCAACGATTGGCCGATTTGTTACTTTTCGTTTCGAAAGATATCCCAACCAAATTTGATAAATAGTAGTATTGTATAATGTTTCAACGTCTATCTATTTGGTATCCTATATCATATATGTAGCTTCCATGGAAATAGTCGGCCGATTTTTAAAGTCACAAAGTTGTTTAAAGCCACAACACATACTTGAATTTGAATCAAATCGGTTTGCTATATCATATAGCTGTTAAAGAAATGATAGCCATTTTTAAAGAATTTATTCGTTTTGAATGCTATTGCAACCAACAAAATTAAATCAAATTGGTTTACTAAGTATGTGAAATAGCTTGTATCTGGTCTTAGAGGAGTTCTTCTATGAACAACCAGTTTGATTCTTTAGAATGTATTTTCAACACATTTAATGGTATTTTTGCGCTACGCCTCGACCTTTGCAACGTGAAAATATATTTAACGTCATTAATGTTCTAAATTAAACTAATTAGTCATATGACAAGCGCATTAAAAATGTGACAAATCGAATTAACAATAAGAAGAAAATGTGCTCCAACTACCTAGAACTCATCATTAAGATGAAGTTGCTGGTCCTGTTCGCAGCCTTTTGTCTTGGCGTCGCACTTGCAAAGGATGATTTAAAAAAGAAGGCGGATGGAAAAACTAAATCAAAAAACGATAATTTGAACATTAATACCATCAATATTGGCAATGAAAAGTTGGGTGAAAAAGTAACACATCCCCCGCCACCGAAAGGGGCAGAAGAAAATGTGTCCGCTCGTCCTGAAAAAGGAAAACCTGAAGTATCGTTTGAAGTCCGTCCACCAGTCCGACCTATAGTGCGACCTCCTGGTGGAGTATCCCAAGAATCCATGGGAAACCGTCCACCAGTTCGACTTATAGTGCGACCTCCTGGTGGATTATCCAAAGAGTCTGGAGAAATTGGCCCAGCAATTCGACCTATAGTTCGACCTATTGATGCAGTATCTCAAGAGTCCATAGGAATCCGTCCACCACATCGACCTATAAAGCGACCGCCTGGTGTAGTATCCCAAGAATCTGGAGAAATCGGTCCACCAATTCGACCTATAGGTCGACCTAAAGTTCGACCTATAGTTAGACCTAGTGGTGCAGTGTCTCAAGAGTCCATGGGAATCCGTCCACCACATCGACCTATAAAGCGACCACCTGGTGTAGTATTTCAAGAATCTGGAGAAATCGGTCCAGCAATTCGACCTATAGTTCGACCACCATATCGACCGCCTGGTGGAGGATTCCAAGAATCTGGAGAAATCCATCCACCGTTTCGACCTCCAAAGCGACCTATTCGATATCCACCATATCGTCCTCCTGGTAGTACAGCAGGAGAATCCGGTGAAAGTCTTTCGCCCATTCGACCTATTATTCATCCTCCTATTGGTGGGGTATCTGGAGAGTATAGAGTAATCCGTCCCCCCGTTCGACCAATAATTCCTCCTTTTAGAGGATCCGCTGAGCTCATAAATCGTCCGCCATTTGGATTCCGGCCACCTATTGGAGGATCTGGAGAAATTATAGGACGTCCGCCAATTGGATCATCGGGAGAAGTGCAAGATTTTGGCAAAGGATACGTTTATATGCCTTATCGATATTATCGACATGTAATAATTGGCCCGGATGGCAGAATTGTTAAAGTATTGAATCCACCCATTGGAGGATTCGGTCATCCATCTGGTGGCGGTATATATGTTGGCGCCAATGGTCACTATATAACAGCTCCCCGGCCAATTGGGTCCAAACGAAACCAACCATTTCCCCAATATATTCGCAGTTAAGGCATTGACGGCTCTTAGTGCCTCCAACCCCTGCACCACAGGGTTGGAATAATGAAGTATATTATGATTCACATGCGCAGCCGCAAGCTTTAAGCTGATATTGGTTCTTTAATAAATCCATTTTTAACGGACACATAATGCATTATATAATGTTAACTGTATCTAAAATTTCAATTTATACCTACCATCTGGTGTATATTTATAAATACTAGCAGGTATTTCCTGTCTTAACCCGGCTTAATATAATGTTTCAGATTGTATTTATTTTGTGTGTACATGACCTACCTATATGTTTTCACCTTATTAGTTATCAGTAGGTTTTCTGTTCTTGACAACAAATTGTTCAGTAGTCCGCTACAATTTTCTTCTTGTCAAAATATTTCGTTAAACGTACACACACATGACCACTAAAAATTAAAATTAAAATATTTTTAAAGCTTGTTTTCCCCCTTTGGAGCTCGAATTTTCCAAAAGCCTTTCTTACTGTTTGGGCTGTAGGGTGTTGATTGTGCTTCAATTTTTCCACGGGAAATCACCCTTTTTTCATGCCCGAGGAAAGAGGAAAGAACCAAGTATGAAGACATTCAAATGCAAATTGCAGATTTTTCATACAATATTTGGAGCCCGTTTTGCCCCCCTTTGGCGTTCGAATTTTCTAAGTGATACTTAGTGCTCACCACACCATAATAGACAACTTGTGTCCCAATTTCAGCTTCCTACCTCTTACCGTTTCGGCTGTGCACTGATTGCCAATCAGTCAGTCAGTCAGAACAAACCGATTTATATATATATATATATATATATATATATATATATATATATAAATGTACGTGCTCTTAATCTTACAATCTTTTGCAGATTTTTATAGGGCATTATTTTCCAGCATATTAAGTGGCAACTGAATTTGTAATCAGATATCGTAATGGTAATATTTTTATACCCTGTACCCGTAGGGTAAAAAGGGTATATTAGGTTTGTGCAAAGTATGTAACATGCAGAAGGAAGCATCTCCGACCCCATAAAGTATATATATTCTGAATCAGCATGACGAGAGAAATCGATCTACACATGTCCGTCCGTCTGTACATATGTCCGTCCGTCTGTCCGTCTAGATGAACGCGAGGATCTCAGAAACTATAAAAGCTAGAATAACCAAAGTTGGCATCCAGATTCTCCTAGGTCCGAGAAAGGACGAGTTTATTTTTTTTTTTAATTTCGTGACTTTTTGTTAAATTTTGTTAGCTAACAGAAATTAGTCGGTCTCTTCAAATATTATAATAATACATATGTTATCTGAAAATAGTTTTCAATTGTAACTTGTAGTTGCAAAATCTGTAAAATATTTATTAATTTTATTACCAAAATTTTAAAAATACGGAATACTTTAAAAGCAATTTTCCTTAATTAAATTTATAAATTTGCTGCTAAAAAAATTGATAAAAATATTCAAAGAAAGCCTACTATATTCTTTTAAAATAATTAATAAATTAAGCAAAGAAAGAAAGCCTACTACATTCTTTTAAAATAATTATTAAATTAAGACACAATATATATCTGTTAATTGGAAGTTAGTTTTGTTAGACACTTATACAAATATTTCAATCGCTATTATTCCAGATGGTAGAGGGTAGAAAGTAGTGCAATAACTTTGATTTGCTGCTAAAGGTCGTGTTATATAAATCGGTGCACAACGCTATTTTCTTTTACTCTAATCCACTTAGAATCAGTTATGAAATGCAATTTACACACAGTTGGAATATTATAAGAATCATTTTGTAAGAATATCAATGACAGCATGACTATATATCGACAATATAGTTATATATCGTTTCAAATAAAGCAATTTGCTTTCTTTCAAATTGTTTGTTCTCGTTGCATGTGAAACCTATGACGTCACTATTGCTTACATAAAGTTGCCGATATAGTTAAACGACATCAGTTCCGCCTGCGAAAGGGCATAAGGCATCCCTCAGGCAAATACGCGTAACACTTTATAAAGACGGTGTGCCACAGTTTTTTTGTTTAGAACAACCGTCTTATTTTGAAGGAGGAACATGAAACTCTACATTGTTCTCGGTCTGCTTTATTACGTGGCTTCAGTAACCGGCCAATCTACAAGTAATAATACCAACATAAACAAAATTAAGATTGGTGGTGCAAATGGTGGCGGTCCGGGCAAAGGAGCTGCCACCAACGATGCCGCTGAAAATGAACCACCAGCCACTTAACATCTGGAGCACGGTCGCCTCAAATTATTTAATTAACAAAAATGTTCTTTGATTTCTAAAATAAAAAGACCAAGTTTCGCTCAAGTGTAATTGCTGAATAGCATATAATTTAATAATAGGAATTGCTCATTAATGGTTATATGATTGGGAGAGGAAATACAAAATATAGCTTAAGAGAAATAAAATTACAAGAATAAAACTTGAAGTAAACAGATTTAAAGAAAGAAGAATCAGTATAATAAATAGCTATAAATACTATTATTTAGGAAAAACAAGAAGAAATATATAGAAATCTATTTTTAATATATTTTTAAAAATATTGAATTGTAAAATGAAGAAATTTGAAGAAAGAGTTAAGAATTGTTGATCGTTTAAAGCAGCTTTGGTATACGAACTCTCTTAAAGGGGGTACGTGTATAAATCCACATGTACATAGGAATTGCGGGTCTATGCCTGTCTGTGTGCGAGCATGTGCGCTGTACAGAGTTGAGCCAACAACAACAACAGTTGCGGGCAGAGCTTGGGCAGAAATTACATTTATGGCTATAACTTTCTTTCTCATAATCAGTAATATTAACATATGTCGTCACGATTTCTTATATAAGGCTGCCGACAGAGTTAAACGACATCAGTTCCACTTGCAAAAGGGAATAAGGCATATCTTAGACAGGTACTCGTAACCCTTTATAAAGACTGTGTGCCACAGTTTTTTGTTTAGAACAACCGTCTTATGTTGAAGGAGGAACATGAAACTCTACATTGTTCTCGGTCTGCTTTATTACGTGGTTTTAGTTACCTGCCAAGATGGTGTACATAGGCAAGCTCATATCGTTACTATTACTATAACTCCATTATCACATTAACATCTGCAGCATGGTCGCCCCGAATTATTTAATTAACAAACATATTCTTTGATTGCTTTAATAAAAAGACAATAGTCCGGCTTACTGTATAACATATAGTTTAATAATAGGAATGGTTGCTCAATGGCTATATAATTGGGGGGTGAAAACGCAAAATCTACAATTAAAAATAACCATAATTAAAAAATATTTTTTATAAAAACAAACTTAGAAAAGTTAATATTAAATTATACATATATTAATATTAAAGTTAATATAAAATGCAACATTTGTAGCAGCATTCTATATAAAAATCGTTTTAGATGTTTCTTAGAAAATATAATAATGGACAAGACCTTCTCAATTTTATAACTATCAAAGACTTTGATTAATAATGATTTGTTTAAATATGATGAGACCTTGGGGTTATGGTTAAATAGCTTAGCCCTGTAATTGTTGGACAGATTGTGTTGTTATGCAAACAAAAATAGTTGTTGCATAAAATGAAGGTGAAATGCATTCGAAACACGTTTGTTCCACCTCAAATATTGATCGGGTCTATCCAATTTCCGACTAGTGTATTGCCAAACTCACAATCCGAGGCGTCGCTTGCTGCTGCTTACTGAAATGGCGTTGGTTTCGATCTTTGCAGTATTGCTAATACTGGGAAACAATTTAAACTGTGAAGCGAATGACAATGAGTTAGTTGTGCAACCGCGCACCTTCGATCTTTTAACTCCAATGTTAAACCTGATCTGGCCAATTTTGCCACCACCAGCAGGCTTCTTAATACAAAAATTGACGGGCCTGTTGTCAAAAGTAGTATCACCTGGAAAAAAGGAGCAACCACAGATACATCATCACTTTTATATACCGGAAGTGCCGCCCAATTACGTGCCACCTCCCGGACAGCAAGGGGACATAGTGAAGCAAATACAAGCTCTTTTAGATCAGGCTCAAAAAGTGAATCCCAACGCAGGCATTACGCCACCAACAAACGAAATTTTAAAGCAGGCAACAGAGGCAGTAGAAAAGCTGCAGGTCATACAGGAGAAAAATCCAGCCGCTGTAAAGGATGTGACCGTTTCAAAAGTCATCGGAGATGTGTTTAAAGTTCTGAAAACTGTCGGTGGTTGGCTCCTACCCAAAAAGCAACCCATTTCATTTCAATCGCAAACAGCTAATAATTTGCCCAAGAGTGTACAACAACACCTGGCGGTTCTTAAGGCTGCATTGAAGAAAAAGCCATAAGTGGTCTGCAATAGGTGGTTAATCGAATGCGGAACTATCGATTGGTCATCTAAATTTTTACATTAAAAATGTAAAATAAATGGAAATAAAACGTATCACGTTTTGGAAGAGGGGTGTGCATATTTTATAATGGAATTGAATCAGCTACTATCATAAACATTAAAAATGACAATAAAAGTTCTTTAACGATGAAGAAGTAAAGTTGAAAATGGGAAAGGTCTGAAAAAAATTTCGCAAAACCGGCCTTGCAAGAGATTTATCTTTCTATATATATTCCATTTCTATCTTAGAGTAGTAAGGCAATTAGCCTTTCGTAATATTAAATCCACTATTGCAGTCCAAGCCCATGTGTGTTTTCTCATACGAAATTGTTTTCGCCACTAGTTTTGGACATTTTCACGTGTGTGTGTTTTCAAAATCACTACTGTAGGTCATGTAGTGGCGAAAAGACTGGTACACCGTTTTATGGACATCAACGATCATTGTTGGCCATGAGTTTTCACATAAATGTAATGGGAGTAACGGATTTCGCCACTAGATTTTTACCTCTTCAAGATGTTTATTATATAAATAATATTACACACCAAATTAAGCAATTAGTTTCTTAAATCGAAACATTTTGGTATCGCATAGTTCAATTTAATGATTCAGCTTAGTATATCGGCAAACTTCTGTGTAAGCTCTTCACTGGCTCTAGAAACTGAAATGGCAATGTTTTGGAGTTGTTTAAT